TGGTGCAAATAAATAGGGAAATGCAAATAAATAGGGAAATAAAATTATTGGCGTAGAATTGGAGATTTTAGAGTGATAAACCCTCAATTCGGTCCTATTGTTTGGGTGCTGAAGTGTAGATGTTAGCCCTCAGGCGAGGGGAACGTGGGAGCTCAGAAGTGAGAGCCAGTATCCTCCCAACCTAACCGCAGATTCAGTAACCAAGCATTGGATTAGTCAATGTTCTTTATGCCTGAACTATAGGGTAAAGAATAGGTATGCTCTTATTTGGCACAATATAATTTTAACTAATTCACTTTATCCAGTCACTTTAATTTCTTGACAAGGAGAAGGATGCTTTCTTATATATGGAACTTCACATTAAAAAATTTATTAGTAGAATTATTTAATTAAGAGTTTGTTAAAATTACATATTTATTTCAATTTCCTATTAGTGACAAATAAGAAATTTGAACTGTATTGTTATGATTAAGTATTGATTTTCTAAATCCTAGTTCGTAGCCTCTAGCATTACTCCCTGTGGGATCGATATCCAGGACTCCATTAGAGCCCTGTATTACTTGAGCGATACATGTACTTGCGCTGATAAGTGTGACTTTGCAATTATTGAATATTTTATACACATTTTTATCAAATCTATAACCGTTGTCAAGTTTTTGGCGCCGTTGTCGGGGACTTAAATCTTCTAGCAACAATATCAAATTCTTGTATTTTTAAGCATATATAAAGTCACTGTCAAGTTTTTGGCGCCGTTGCCGGGGAGTAAAAAAATATCATAATGAAAGTAACAGACAAATTAAGACTATTAGAAAACTTTTACTTGAATTCCAACTTATTTTCATATCCAGTTAACTATTTTTCTGTGTACTGATTTCAATTGTATGCGTAAATTTAGACCTGAAAATCTTATACCCTATGATTCAGAATTAGAACGCACTGTTAGAAGAATTAGAAAACTTAGAAAAGAACCTAGAAATCTTGAAATGATGTAAAACAACGTGAACAATTAAGGAATAGAAAATGAACAACAACCTAGACCTCTACGACATTATGTGAATCCTACAGCAGATGAAATTCACTTATCTATTCAAAATCCTAATGTAGCTGCAAATCCTGATGTAGCTGCTAATTCATTTGAACTTAAACCTGTTATTATCCTAATGGTACAGAACAATCAATTCGAAGGTACACCAAATGAAGATCCTAATTTACACCTCGCTAGTTTTTTAGAACTTTGTGCTACCTTTAAATATGACAGAGTTTCGAACGATGTTGTTAGACTAAAACTTTTTCCTTTTTCACTTAGGGATAAGACTAAGATGTGGTTAAATTCGTTAGCACCTGGATCTATTAGAACTTGGGGAGAAATTTCATAGAAATTTCTATCCAAATATTTCTCTC